CTTCTGGCTGCCCTAGATGTGTATGTGCTCCAGAACTGTATTCTCAACAATCATTTAGATAAACCGTTTAGAGGCTGACACTGGTGTAAAGACAAGCAAGTTACTTCCACAGTACTCTGGGAATATCAACATGAGAACTGAGGAGAAATATTTTCTAATTTCTGGGCCAAGTGATTAATGCAGGCCATACATGGGTCGAATTCTGAACAAATTTTCATTAGAAAATCAGAAATTTCATACGTTTTGTAATCCGATGGTGCCCCCATTGATTTCGAAATCCAACCAACCAAGCCTTCAATTTCACCTCATGTTGCTAACGAAAGGAATTTTTGTAGCTGGAAATCTTCTTTTCTTTCCAAGTCAGAGCTTATGCTCATTTCTTTTTCAGTTTTATTTATCGCACAATTCTCCCATCATTGATTAGAAATTTGTTTCTTTTTAAACAGAAACAATTGAGTACTGTCCGTGATACTTTTTTTTATTTGCACTAACATACAATTTTGAGGACAAGCTTTCGGGGTATGTCCCCTACTTCAAAGTTCAAGCAGTACTATTACAAATCACAAAGTTTAAGCAGAATGTTAGAAGGGATGAACAAAAAAAAAAAAGGCTACAGATAAGATACAGCAAAAGGAGGGGGGGATACTACACTCACACAGAGGGGGTCAATCTAGCTAATAGTCATAAAACTGTTGGATAATGAGTGAGGAATCCCATGTCCAAATTAAGGCCGTTATCTCTTGTGTCAAATAGAATTATCATTCTTAGTTCAAAAGTTTTTCTTTCCTGATTGGATTTGAATTTTCCTTTCAGAACTAAAACATTGAGGTCTTCCATTGTGTGGGCTGGTTGTGTGAAATGGTGTCCTACAGGTGTGCAGAGGCCATCTTCTTTATGTTCCTTGATGGTATGTCTGTGCAAATTCATCCTTGTTTGCAACTTCTGTCCTGTTTTGCCAACATAAGATCCTTTGCTGCATTTTCTGCACTGGATAAGGTACACAACATTACTGGAGGTGCAGCTGTATGATCCGGAGATATTAAAGATCCCTTTTGAGTGTCTGACACTTTTTGATGGATTGATTTGGTTGCACAGCTTGCAGCGTTTCTTATTGCAGGGTTTGCTTCCATTATTTGTGACATCATAATCAGAAGGCAGTTTCCTACTAATTAGTTTATTTCTGAGGTTGAGGGGTTGTCTAAAGGCCAGTATTGGTGGTTGCTGGAATATTTCTTTCAGAGTTCCATCCTCTGTTATGATGGGTTGTAAATCTTTGATTATTTTTCTTATTCCTTCTAGTGCTGGGTTGTATGTGGTTACTAGAGGTACATGGTTGTTTGTTTTTTTTCTCTCCTTGTACTGAAGTAGATTTTCTCTTCGGGTTCTCAAGGCTGTGTTTATGCTGGTGTTGATAGTTTTGTCCTTGTAACCCTTCTTATGGAAGGAGTCTGCTAGTGTCCCGAGATGTTTATCTCTGTCTCTTGGGTCAGAACATATTCAATGGTATCTAATGGCCTGTGTATGATGGCACGTTTCGTGTGTTGGGGGTGGAAGCTGGAACTGTGGAGGTAGTTGCATCTGTCAGTGGGTTTCCTGTATATTGAGGTGTGAAGCGTATCATCCCTGATGTATACTGTGGTGTCTAGGAAGTTGAGGTGTGTGTTTGAGTATTCTATTTTTAGTTTGATTGATGGATGAAAAGTGTTCATCAATGAGTAAAATTGTTTTAGGTTTTCTTCACCTTCTGTCCATATGATGAAAATATCATCAATATAGCGATAGTATCTGTATGGTTTTTGTTCCATGCTGTTCAGGAATCTTTCCTCCAGGTCAGCCATAAATAAATTGGCATATTGGGGTGCCATTTTACTTCCCATCGCAGTACCCATACATTGAAGATAGATGTCTTTATTGAAAGCAAAGTAGTTGTGTGTAAGTATGAATTCAATGAGCTGTGTAACATCCTCAGCAGTGTATTTGTGGTTTGGTGAGGATGATAAGGATCTGTTACATGCAGCTAATCCATCCTTGTGAGGGATATTACTATACAGGGATACTACATCCATAGTCACTAGAAGTGTATTAGATGGTAATTGCTGGATGTTGTTGATCTTGTTCAGAAAGTCAGTTGTGTCTTGCAGGAAACTAGCAGTATTCATGACTACCGGTTTTAAAAATTTTTTCTACAAAGCCTGAGATTTGTTCGGTGAGTGTATTCATACCTGTTATGATGGGTCTGCCTGGATTTCCTGGCTTGTGGACTTTGGACAGCATGTAGAAGTCCCCGATTTCTGGATGATCCGGAATCGCATTTATAAGTTCTGAATGTAGGTGGGCTGGAAGTGTTTTAATGAGACCTTTTAATTGCTTTGTAAAGTCCTGGGTCGGATCATAATCCAGTTTTTTTATAGTAAATAGCATTTTCCAGCTGCCTCTGGCCTTCTTGTATGTATTTGTTTGTATCCATCACAACAACTGCTCCCCCTTTATCCGCTGGTTTGATGGTGATGGCCTGATTATTACGCAAATCTTGTATAGCCCTTCGCTCTAGTGGTGAAAGATTGTACAGAATTTTCTTTTGCTGGGTGGATATCAGGGATGTAGCTCGCAATCTGAAGCTATCAATATAGGTGTCCAGTTTGGGGTTGTGTCCTTGTGGAGGTGTGAAGCAGCTGTTCTTTTTCTTTGTGTAGCACTCCATTGTCCTAGGATTCCTTTCATTATTGTGGAAATATTCTTTGAGCCTTAGTCTCCTGAAAAAATCCTCCATATCTGACAATAATTGTAAATGATCCAATTTGGTGGTTGGGCAGAATGTAAGGCCTTTGGAGAGGATGGTTAATTCTGGTTTGGAAAGTTTATGATTTGACAAGTTGATGATTCCAAGTTCCTGTTATATCCACATTTTCAGTCAGGTCAGCATTTACACAAGGGATCCCTTGGGATTCCAGATTAGATTCCAGGTCACTGATGGTAAGAGGTGTAGATGTTGGGTTGCTTTTATGTTTAGGTTGTATCCAAAGGGTCTGCTCTTGGTGAAGCTTCTGAAGTTTTTTTTGTTTCCCATTCATGGCAAGTTTTTGTGTTTGTCTTTGTAAAGTTTCCAATTCATTCTTGATTTGGTTAATGTTGGTAGGGTCCAATGATGTTAGGGTTTCAAACAAAGACTGCTTTTGTATCCGGATAGTTACCCTTTTTCCATACAGTTTGTGAATGAGGTGATTCCTTAATCTCTCGCTGGTGCGTCTGCAAAGTCCTTCTGCATAAGGAGAGTTGATTGTATTTACGCAAGGATTTTTAATCCGGAGGCCTTGTGGTATGAGATTCCTCTTTTTGCATCTTGAGAAAAAGAAAATATCACTGTTGATCTGTGTTTCCTTTGTGATTAGGTTGGTTAACTGCTTCTTTATGCGGCTATATACAGTATCTTCCATTTTGCTAGAGGTGATTGTAGCCGTATTAGTGCATTTGCGACAGAAACAATTGAGTACTGTCCGTGATACTTTTTTTATTTGCACTAACATACAATTTTGAGGACAAGCTTTCGGGGTATGTCCCCTTCTTCAAAGTCCAAGCTGTTTTTAAAAAAATTTTCAACATTCCTGATCAGTCAAATTTGGAGGCTGCATGAAAATCGGCTGATGTTGCGGCCCACTAATGATGTGAAAGTCAAACAAAAATTCTTCATTACGATTTTCAAAAGACAATTATGCCGGAATTCGACCCATGTGTGGCCTGCATTATCATACCATGCAAAATACTGTCAGACTTTTCAGAGAGGGGGCATTACTTTTTTACATAGGGCCAGGCACGATTGGATGCCTTTTTTTCCCTTAATAAATGAAATCTATGTTTAAAAACTGCATTTTGTATTTTCTCAGGTTATTTTTGTGTAATATTAAAATTTGTTTGATGACCTGAATCATTTAAGTGTGACAAATGTGCAAAAAAAAAAAATCAGGAAGGGGGCAAATACTTTTTCACTTTTGTGTACTACATATTACTGAGCTGACAAGCTCATTGTACTTGGCAGCTGACAGGCAGGAGGGAACATTTATGATACTTTATGATACTTGTCAGCAAGTTTTGAAAAAATGGGGTTGACACCACTTTAAAACCAAAAAAGGTAAAAGGTTCCAATTCCTGAAGCATTCAAGTTCTCATGTTAATCATTCACTGTATAGGGACCCTCACCCTCACTCTGAACACTATCATATAAAAGTTTGCAGTCTTAGGTGCCAGACACATATGGCTGCAGGACCGCATTCTTACAGTTTATCTGGTGTCACCCTACTTCTGCATTCTCCATTAATATCCTTCCCTCCAAGATGTTTCTTGGTAAGACTGCCGAAACACAGGCATTTAGAAGGTAACAGGATCACCTCCTGATTACATAATAGCAGACCGCTTTTCAGAGCACAGCCTAGTGTGAATCTAGATGCTATTTTTTCTAAATGCAATTTTTTTTTTATTTAAAATAACAAACAGATTTATACTCACCTGCTGTGTGCGAAGGCCCCGAAATCTCTTCTCAGGTCCTCCACCAGCGCTCCTAGCTCCTCCTCTTCTTGGTGTACCACCATAGGAAGCTGTTTCCTATCGTGGCACACTTGCTTGTCCATCCCAAGCCCCGCTGCCTGTGTCCTTTGACATAGACAGGGAGACTCTGTCCTGGCCCCTGCCCCCTCATCACAAGATTTGACTCACATATTAGGAACCAAAGGCTCCCGCTACTCTTGGCCAAGCCTGTGAGAGCGGAAAGAAAAGGAGAGAGCCGCTGCAGATGGGCATTGCACTGGATCGAGTGAGGGCTCAGGTAAATGAGGGAGTGATATTTTTACCTAAACAATTTTTACCTTAATGCAAAAGAAAGCATTGATGAAAAAATAAAATGTTTACGTTTTACAACCACATTAAAGGAGAAAGACTGTGGGAAATGCACAAAGGGTATCTAGTAAAAAGGAAAAAAGGACACTAAAAATTATGTAATTATTACTCACTGTACAACTGTCCCGCAAAGTATCAAACTTGCGTTGAATCTCATCTCGGTGTGACTAAATAAAGGGGAAAAAAAAATACAATAATAATAGCTTTTAGCTATTCCCTGATGCAACAGTACTGTTTTTCTAGATATATAGATAACTGGATAGATTACCCTTAAGGCTTGGATTTCCTCCTCAGCCTCTGCAGTGGTTTCTTCCAGCTCAGTTTTTGCTTGGTGTAGCTGATTTTCCAGAGCAGACCGTGCAGACTGTAGGGAGGCAATTTGAGATTCCCTTTCCTGTAACGCCAGCTGCAGTTCAGTTAACTGCCTCTTCAGGTCCAGCTTCTGTTCCTCATGCTCCAGACTAATCTAGAATGAAGACCAAGGTAAGATTAGCTTGCACAGCAAAATCTACACATTCTTTCATCATTGTAGTTTCCTGTAATGCTAGAGTTCAACATGAATAATCAAAACAGCTGCATATATAAATTGGTTTCATATTTGAAGCATTAAATGTATCTGCATGAGTAGGCTTACAATGCTAGAATATGTACATTCCTTTTTATTCACAGACTCTCTACAGTCTTATTGCTGAAAGTAGGAGTCCTGGTAGTGACTACACAAGTTAGCAGGGAAAAAAAGAGACAAATACAGTGAGGAACAAAAGTATTTGAACACCCTGCGATTTTGCAAGTTCTCCCACTTAGAAATCATGGAGGGGTCTGAAATTCACATTGTAGGTACATTCCCACTCTGAGAGACAAAATTTAAAAAAAAATTCAGGAAATCACATTGTATGATTTTTAAAGAATTTATTTGTCTTGCACTGCTGAACATAAGTATTTGAACACCTGAGAAAATCCGTGTTAATATTTGGTACAGAAGCCTTTGTTTGGAATTACAGAGGTCAAACGTTTCCTGTAGTTCTTGACTAGGTTTGCACACACTGCAACAGGGATTTTGGCCCACTCCTCCACACAGATCTCCTCTAGATCTGTCAGGTTTCGGGGCTGTCGCTGAGCAACACAGAGTTCCAGCTCCCTCCAAAGATGTTCTATTAGATTTAGGTCTGGAGACTGGCTAGGTCACTCCAGAACCTTGATCTGCTTCTTACGGAGCCACTCCTTGGTTATCCTGGCTGTGTGCGTCGGGTCGTTGTTATGTTGGAAGACCCAGCCACGACCCATCTTCAATGCTCTGACTGAGGGAAGGAGGTTGTTGCTCAAAATCTCACAATAAATGGCCCCATTCATCCTCTCCTTAATACAGTGCAGTCGTCCTGTCCCCTTCGCAGAAAAGCACCCCCAAAGCATGATGTTACCACCCCCATGCTTCACAGTAGGGATGGTGTTCTTGGGATGCAACTCATCCTTTTTTCCTCCAAACACGACGAGTGAAGTTTAGACCAAAAAGTTCTACTTTGGTCTCATCTGACCACATGCCTCCTCTGGATCATCCAGATGGTCATTGGCAAACTTCAGACGGGCCTGGACATGTGATGACTTGAGCAGGGGAACCTTCCGTGCAATGCATGATTTGAAACCATGACGGCGTAGTGTTCTACCGACAGTGACCTTTGAAACTGTGGTCCCAGCTCTCTTCATGTCATTGACCAGCTCTTCCCTTGTAGTTCTGGGCTGATTCCTCATCTTTCTTATCATTAGTGATACCCCACGAGGTGAGATCTTGCATGGAGCCCCAGTCCGAGGGAGACTGACAGTCATCCTTAGCCTTTTCCATTTTCTAACAATTGCTCCAACAGTTGATCTATTTTCACCAAGCTGCTTGGCAATTGCCCTGTAGCCCTTTCCAGCCTTGTGGAGGTCCACAATTTTGTCTCTGGTGTCTTTTGAGAGCTCTTTGGTCTTGCCCTTGGTAGTAGTTGGCGTCTGACTGACTTTGGGGTGGACAGGTGTCTTTAAAGAGCTCAGATGGGTGCTACTAAGCTAGATTAATGAGTGGAGTAGAGGTGGACTTTTTAAAGGCAAAGTAACAGGTCTTTGAGAGCCAGAATTCTTGCTGTTTCTTAGGTGTTCAAATACTTATGTTAAGCAGTGCAAGACAAATAAATTCTTTAAAAATCATACAATGTGATTTCCTGAATTTTTTTTTTTAAATTCTGTCTCTCAGAGTGGGAATGCACTGACAATGTGAATTTCAGACCCCTCCATGATTTCTAAGTGGGAGAACTTGCAAAATCGCAGGGTGTCAAATACTTCTGTTCCTCGCTGTATGTTGTCTAACCTAGACACTTCTTATTCTAGTCACCTAGTACATGTGGCTGGCAAAATAAAAAAACTTTGGCTAGTGATAAACTGTGTATTTTATTCTTATGAGTCATGCTATTTTGCAAACATAGCATTTGGAAATCCCCATCACGCTGGTACATTGAACATTAAACATCATATTTCAAAATGTTTTACCAGTTGTATATTGCACTCTACTATACATTTAAAAAAAATAAAAACATTTAACTGTGAATTTACTTGATTGGTTCCATTTTAGATTTATTCATTTATCCAATATTTGTCTTCATACACCTTTCTTGTAGTGGCTGGAAAATGTAGAGAGGCACTGAAATGTCAGTGATTGTCAATTCTAGATTAAAAAAAATCTGTAGCTGCTGACTTTTAATGAACACGCTTTACTGTCCCAGGATACAGCGATGTACTCGCCCGCATCGTCCCTTCTCTCCTCCACGGAGCCGGCTTCTCAACTGTGGGCACCAGGCTGTGACAGCTTGCGGCTTCACAGCCTGGTGCCCACTGCGCATGCATGAGTCGCTCTGCACCTCCTGATTCGTCCGGCAGTCTTCTGGGACCTGTGAAAGTTCCCAGGAGACTGTGGGAGGAAGGAGGGGGCCAAACATCTGGCTCACTTCACCATGGCAAACTGAGCCAGAAGTGGGAGTGGGTACCTCTCAAAACCTGGTACCCGCTCCCCCCTTCCCCCCCAAAGGTGCCAGATAAGGCAGTGGAGGGGAGGAGGAGACGAACAAGTGCAGCTTCCACTTTTGGGTGGAACTCCGCTTCAAGTGTTAGATCATTTGATCTAGTTATAAAAATGAGTTCTTCTGGACCATGGGGACTGTTACAAGTGTACTTCCTCAGAGACAGTAGAAGCACAGACATATTTGTTAAACATATTTCAGAAAAAATTACCTCACGAAGTCTCGTCTCAAGCTCTAGAAGCCGTGTCTTGTCAGTATGTTCCTGATTGTTAATCCTCTCTAGCTGTTCTTCCAGTTTCTGATTTTGAGCCTCAATTTTCCCAGCTTGGGTCTCCAAATAGAATTTTTGTTGCCTAAGTTCTGAAATCATCTCTTCCTGAGCTTTCCTAAAATCATAACATTAACACAGATGCCTATAAAATTGGGTCTTTGCATTCTTTCCTTTCCTGTAAAAGAGGCTAAGTTAAGACACCCACATTGATAAAGGGTTACCCATACATACACATAAAAGGAATCATGTACATATGTATATCACATACATTTACAAGACCTGCTAGTTCATGAAGTATTCACAAAATGTGACTTTATGTTTGCTATGTGATGTATACTGGGAAGCAATTGTCACAAGTCAATCTGATACTAAAGATAGGGGGTAGGGGATGCCCTAACAAGTTTGATAAGGTATGGTCCCCCCTGGCTAGCTTCCCATGATACGGCTACTCTATATGTACATAATTTCTTTCTGCCATTGGCTCTGAGGTCATTTGATATAACTATGCCTTTGAAACTTTTGTAATGATATAATTTCTGTGTCATGTTTCTCTGGACACAGGTCCTTTCCATTTATCACTGCACTAGTATGTATGGGCATGCTGTTATTTGACCTTGTTTTTTTTTTAACTGCTGAGCTGCGTCTTGGTTTGGTATTTTTGCTTAGTTTTGTTTTCTTTCATTTAAAAAAAAAAAAAAAAAAAAAAAGAAAGGATAGGCGGTGCTTTAACTAAAGCAATATTTAAATCTGTAGTACTCTTACACACCTTGTCTAGTATATGGGAGCCCTAAATTTACTAGTGCTATGATGCACTGTGTTAATCCAAGATCTTTCTGTGAGCATCTGTATCAGCTCTCTCATCAACAGAAGTAGCTGGCATGGGGAGATAGATTGTTATAAGCCTTGATACGCACAATTGTTTTTCCTTTGCGCTCTGCTCTCTCATCAACAGAAGTAGCTGGCATGGGGAGATAGATTGTTATAAGCCTTGATACACACAATTGTTTTTCCTTTAGATCGATTTCCAATCATATCTGATACTCACATGTTCCTTTGTGTAAAAAGGCTGCTATTTGCTGCCAATTTGTTGGCTTCTGATAGTTCTGCTAATCTTTGTTCCAGTGACTTGATCTTTGACTCCAATGCATTGATCATCTGCAAGATTTAAATGATCTTAAATTATTTCTTTTGGAATTTAGACGAATGGTTTCTTGGAAACCTGTTTTTCCAAAGAGGCCAATGAAAGTTCCAAGATGGTATTTGCTTCAATCTCAAATCAATAGCCACACAACACTTTTCCAGTATTACTTACTGCCTTCTGTTCACTGAGGAATCTATTCTTTTCGCAAGATTCCTCTTCATTTTTTATTCGAAGTTGCTCAAGAGACTCCTTCTCTGTAAAGTCCTTCTTAATTTGTGCTTCAAAATTCTGTTGGGGAATATCATGTTATGTTTTATAGTTGTCTGACTTCAAAAAACTACCAGAGAAATTCAACTATACAATTAAAGCAGAACAATAGGCAAAACATTTCTTCCCATTTTGGAAGGGAGGGGTTACAGCCCTTGTAAGGTTTATTTTCGCCATCTTTGTCCCATTGAGATTTACCTTCACTTCCTGTCCCATAGTCAAACAGGAAGTGAATAGAAAACCCTGCAAATTAAGGCAATTTCTGGGGGACCCCAAGGTCACCAGAACTAGTGTTCCCATTAGAAGATTTTCCCTTTATGACTTTTCTGGAGACAATCCAAAATTTGTGGGTTTCGCTTTCAGTGATAATGGTAAACAGGACAAATAGAGAGCATAAATCTCCCTAACTGGGGCACAGCAGTAAAAACTCGACAGGTGTTCTAATCCACCCCCCCATATTCAAAACTAAAAAAAAAAAAAAAAAAAAGTTTTGCCTTTAGTTCTATTTTAACAGGAAATGGTACACAAAGTTGAAAAAAAAAAACCACAGAATATATTTACTCTGACTTTCTCTTCATAGACCTGTTCACTCTGCTTCATTTGAATATCCAAATGCTGGGCTCCCATTTGAGCTTCTCTGTACTTCTCTTCCAGTTCCTAAATAAAAATATGAACATATACAACTATGAAAAAAACTTATGGTTAGTTTATACACCAACGAAAAACAAAAGCTACAACTTGTGCCTATTAATAAATAATAACAATTTGAAAGAAATGAAGGTGGTTAATAATAAATAATGATGGTGAAGCGCTAATAAATATAACAAATAAATTATTAAATAAATTACACAAAGTGCTAAATAAGTGATAATCACTGTGATAAAGTGCAAAGCAAAAAAGGGTCTTAAATGAGGACCTATACAAAGTGCAAGTACACACGTGCAAAAAACGTCCATGCAAAAATTGTAGATGTAGGTGCTTCAGTTGTCACTCCAAAAAAAACTTCCTGTGCTTGTGCAACACTCAGGTGGATCACTATCCGTAAATACTCAAAATGCCCCCTCACCTCCTTACCGAGACCCCTCAGGGCCACAACGCTTTACACAGCAACACTTTTCCACACCATGCAGCTTTAAATGAACCCGGCTCCAATGGCTCCTCGTTTTAAGTTCTCCCTTCTAATGGTGGTCACCGCAGCAAGAACTCAAATATGAACCATTAAATCAAGGCCATAAGGGAGTAAACAGAAGAGACCTCCATAGTGCAACTCTTATTTAGTCAATATAAAGCAAAAACGCCAAGAAAACACTCACAATTGCTGAAATTCAAATAAGCAGTTTCCCATATGCTATGGGTGTATTGCAGTCAATAGGAGTACCAAGATGGCGCCGACCAAATGTGCATCACCGCGCTCTACGTGTTACGTCACGATTTGGACACGTGACTTCCTCAGGAATTTAGTGACAACTGAAGCACCTACATCTACAATTTTTTGCATGGACGTGTTTTGCACATGTGTGTACTTGCACTTTGTATAGATCCTCATTTAAGACCCTTTTTTGCTTTGCACTTTATCACAGTGATTATCACTTATTTAGCACTTTGCAGATGCCCAGCTAGCCAATTGTTCCCTGGATCCCATTCCTTTGCAACCACTACGGTCACCCTCTGTTTCTAATGTATGCTCTCTTACCCACATATTCAGTCTCTCCCTCTCTACTGACACCTTCCTGACTTCAAAAGCATGCGCAGGCCCACTCTATACTTAAAAAGCTCTCACTGGACCCCACCAGCCTGAATAACTTAAGATCTATCTCCTTGCCTGTAAGCTTTTAGAATGCCTAGTCTACAACCATCTGAGCACCTACCTCATTGAGAACAACCTTTTGAGCCCTTACAGTCCGGCTTTAGCTCGCAGTACTCCACAGAAACTGCCCTACCACAACTCACTGATTTTCTAACTGCTAACACCAAAGACCACTATTCTGTACTCAAAATACTAGACCTTTCTGCGGCCTTTGATAATGTTGACCACATGCTCTTCCTCAAACTCCGCTCACTTGGCCTCCAAGATTTTTCTCTTTCATGTTTCTCCTCCTATCTACCACAGTACTCCTTCAGTGTTACCTACTACTCTGTCTCCTCTGCTCCACTTCCTCTTTCTGTAGGGGTCCCCCAAGGCTCTGCTTTTGGACCCTTTCTTATCTCTATCTATACCTTCTCTCTTAGTCACTTTATAACTTCCAATGGCTTCCAATACCATTTCTATGTCACTGAATCTTTCTAAAACCGAGCTTGTAATATTCCCTTCTGCCCTTGCCCTACCTCTGACTTTTCCATAAAGATAAATAATACAAATATAAGTTCCTCCCCTCATGCGAGGGTGCTAGGTGTAATCCTAGACTCTGAGCCGTCCTTTCTGCCCTAAATCCAATAGCTGTCAAACGTTTGTAGACTTTACCTCTGTAACAGCTCTAAAATTCACCCCTTTTTAACGAATGAAACCACCATGCTACTCATTTACTCCCTGGTTATCTCTCACCTTGACAAGTGCAACTCCCTTCTTTTAGGCCTACCATAGGCTATCCCCTCTGCAGTCTATCATGAATGCTGCTGCTAGACTCATCTACCTTACTAACCACTCAGTGTATGGCAACGTCTCTGCCAATTCCCCCACTGACTTCCGATTGCTCAGCAAATTAAATTCAAAATACTAACAATAACATACAAAGTAATTTACAAATCTGCCCCGAGCTAAATCACCAGGTCTTGAAATATCACCCAAACTGTCCTCTCCGCTCCTCCCAAAACCTCCTGCTCTCTACCTCTTGTTTCCTCCACCCATACTGGTCCCCAAGTCTTCGACAGATTCTCTCCAATCCTCTGGAACCTTCTACTTCAATCAGTCCAGCTACCTCCTACTCTGGTCACCTTTAGGTGATCCCTGAAAACTCATCTCATCTCTTCAGAGAAGCCTATCCCACCTCCATCTAACAACTGAACTTTTATTTTTTACATCAGCCCATCCCTCACAGTTATTACCTTTTGTACCACTTGTCCCACCCTGTTAGACTGTAAGCTCTTATGAACAGGGCCCTCTTAACCTTCTTGTATTTTATTGTACTGCAACTTTACTGTCTCCCTTTATATTGTAAAGTGCTTCACAAACTGTTGGTGCTATATAAATCCTGTATAATAATTGCAAAGGCTATGATGGAGGTACACATTTCATCTAGATGAGGGAAAGAAACACAAAAACATTCTTCTCTTTTTTTTGTGGACAAAGTGTCAAGTTCTTTATTGCTGACTCTGGCTCTGTCCTGAGGAAAAGTTTCCCACTAAGGACACCAACAGCAATTAAAAGCTAAAGGAAGCTCAGTACACCACAGGTAAGTAAAAGAATCCCCACCAAAAAAAAAAGACTAATGCGGCATGTACCAGAACAATATATACAGTGCTCAGCATAAATGAGTACACCCCAACATATTTTGTCAGAAAACCTTTACTTTTCTTTCAGAATCAACATTTTATATGGGACACTATACTGCAAAATTCTCCCACAAATGCAGACCATTGATTTCAAACAAGTTTTGTTCATTTGCAGACACAAAAAAGTATTTTTCCTAACAAATTCATTCAAGACCATGTTGCAAAAATGAATACACCCCAATGAAAGTCTTAGGAGCAAAGCTAAATTTTAGACAACAAAGTCCTAAGTAACAAGAATTCAACTACCGGCGAGTCTAATTATTCATTAAACAGTCATTCAGCAGAGAGTTGATTATAAAAGTGTGTTACTTAACAAAGAAAACCCCTTCCCATTTCATGCTGTCAGCAATGGCACTACATGGAAGAGAAAAGTCACAAGGCGTGAGAATGAAAATCATTTCTTTACACAAGAAAGGTGAAGGCTACAAGACAATCAGCAAAGCTTTACTTATCAATCAGAATACTGTAGCAAAAGTGATACAATAATTGAAAAAGATGGAACTGCAACCATCTCACAGAGACGTCCAGGCTGTCCACAGACGTTAACAACTTGACAGGAGCGTCTTCTGATGAGAAGGGTTAAAGAAAATCACAATGCAAGTACACTGCAGCTAGCTAAATATGTAGAAAGCAAAAATGGGGTTCAAAAGACACAATATGGCGTGCACTGCAGAGGAATCACATGCATGGTTTCGAAGGAAGCCTCTCTCAAAGCCCATGCACAAAAAAGCCCACCTAGAATTTGCCAGGACCCATGCTGAAAAAGAAGACTACGGGGGCTCTGTACTCGAGTGATGAGACCAAGATGAATGTTTTTGGAAAGGATGGCTTCAAAACTGTAAGACGTCGCAAAGGTGAAAAGCACAAAGAAAAATGAATGGTGCCTCTGTCATTTCAAAGCCATTGTTTCTAATTTTTAGGGACTTTTTAATGACTGGCATAGTACCACTGGATTGGCGTAAGGCCAAAGTGGTGTCAATATTTAAAAAGGGGTCAAAATCTTTACCAAGTAATTATAGACCAGTTAGTTTAACTTCTATAGTTGGGAAGATACTGGAGAGTTTAATAAAAGACCACATAGATGAGTTCTTGCTGGAAAAAAAATATTTTAAGCAACAGACAGCATGGATTCATGAAAGACAGAAGTTGTCAAACAAATCTGATTTCTTTTTATGAGGAGGTGAGAAAAACATTGGACAGAGGGGTGGCAGTGGACGTGGTATACTTGGATTTTGCTAAAGCGTTTGAAACAGTTCCCCACACATGGGACTAATGTGTAAGGTAAAGTCTACAGGCTTGGAAAAATCTGTATGTAAATGGATAGAAAACTGGCTAAAAGATCGCATTCAGAGAGTAGTGGTTAATGATTCATACTCTGAATGGTCTAGGGTTGTCAGTGGTGTACCCCAAGGTTCAGTTTTGGGACCCTTACTTTTTAATATATTTATAAACGATATGGGGTCTGGGATTATAAATACCATTTCAGTCTTTTCAGATGACACCAAGCTGTGCAGTGGAATAGCGTCCTTATAGGATGTCTCCAACTTACAAACCAACCTCAGTGCACTGTTTAATGGGCAACTATGTGGCAAATGAGGTTTAATGTTGATAAATGTAAGGTTATGCACTTGGGGGCTAAGAATATGCATGCATCATACATACTAGGGAAGTACAACTGGGGGAATCAATGGTGGGGAAGGATCTGGGAGTTCTGGTAGATCACAAGCTTAATAATGGCATGCAATGCCAAGCTGTGGTCTGTAAAGCAAGCAAAATCCTCTCTTGTATTAAAAGAGGTATAAACTCCAGAGAGATAGATATCATGTTACCCAGGTACAAATCACTAGTAATACCTCATCTGGAATATGCAGTTGAATTTTGGGCACCAATTCACAAAAGGATCATTGGGGAACTGGAGAAAGTACAGAGAAGGGCAACCAAACTGTTACAAGGCATGGAAGAGCTCAGCTATGAGGAAATATTAGAGGAACTGAATTTATTCTCTCTTGAGAAGAGGAGATTAAGGGGGATATGATCAACATGTATAAATACATCAGTGGTTCATATAGTGAACTCGGTGTAGAGTTATTCACCCTGAGGTCATCACAGAGGACAAGGGGGCACTCTTTACATCTGGAGGAAAAGAAATGTAATCTCCAAACACAGAA